TCAACTGAAATAATTTCCACCCAGATTTATCTTTGGGAACTGAACGCTTTTCTAGGTACATGACTAAATAATTTATTATTCAATAAAATAAATTATTATGAATATAATGAACGAAGAATGACTGTACTGATCGATAAAAACTAGAAATAAGGTAAGACTGTACTAATTGATAAAAAATCACCAGTTAGCTCATTGAAATCTGATTCGTTTATGTAATCTGATCGCCAAAATGCAACACAGCTGGATGGAATATCGAATTAAACTGAAGAACATGAAAATATGTTTATATTTCTCTTTCTCTTTCTTTTTCTTTTTCTTTTTCTTTTTCTTTCTTTGCTTGAATTTTTGAGGAGGAGCTTGTATTTTTTACTCTTTTTAATTTTATTTAAAAGTAAAATTTATTATCAAATTAAGATGATGAACATGAAAATATGTTTATATACTTTCTTTCTTTCTTTTATTCTTTCTTTCTTTTATTCTTTCTTTTATTCTTTCTTTCTTGCTTTCTTTCTTTCTTGCTTTCTTTCTTTCTTTTTTTGCTGGAATTTTGGGGAAGGAGATTGTATTTTTGACTCTTTTTTTTCTCTCCATATTTTACTTGCAACATTTTCTGAGGTTCAGGAAATATTTGCCCTTCAGCACAAATCCAAATTCATTCAGAACTTTTTGTCTATTTACTCCTTCACAGACCTCATGATATTTAAAAATTACACACACACACACATACACACACACTACACACGCGCGTTGCTTGCGTAACATAAATTATATAAAAGTTATCACTTGGGCCTGAATCCAAGGAGTTGTTCATTTTGCAAGTAGGTATTTCTATAAGTATAGATTATAACATCAAAAACAGGAATAACATTTACAGGTGCCAAAAATATTTAGATTTTGACTAGACTAACCATAAGGCTGCACAAGGCCAAATAGAGGGCATCCGAAAGAAGCATGGCACGTGGAACTAGAACTATCTACCCCGGTTGACGAAATAAAAGGTTCAGTTCGAAATTCCAATCACCCGAAGAAGGCCGGAGCGTACGACGGCCAAAACGTAGTGAATATGGAAATGAAAATGGGGATAACAGTTCGAATAATGTAAATAATGTAAATAATTATAATACCTCATCTCAGAGATATAGAGGCCGAAACGTTGTGAATATGGCAATGAAGATGAGGGTAACAGTCCGAATAAAGTAAATAACACAAATAATCATAATACCTCATCTCAGAGATATATAGGCCGAAACGTTTTGAATATGGCAATGAAGATGAGGATAACAGTCCGAATAATGTAAATAACACAAATAATCATAATACCTCATCTCAGAGATATAGAGGCCGAAACGTTTTGAATATGGCAATGATGTGGATAAGAGTTCGAATTATGTAAATAACGCAAATAATCATAATGCCTCATCTCAGATATATAGACAGATGATAGATAACGATATACCATTGATCTTAAGTGGTTAAGATTGTAGTATTCAAGAAAGCATCCAGACGATAATCTGTCCCAAAATGTAGCTGTTCTTGGAAAGAAGCTGACCTTACAAACGAAATACCGGGGAAATGAGTGTGATTCAACTCTGTGGATGTTGTCTGGCATAATCAAAAGATCTGAAATAATTTGTCTGAACATTTGCTATGGAAATAGCGATAGCATATAACGTTATGACTATTGAAAAGAGGCCACTCAGTTAAAATTAAGCCTTTCTCCACAAGACTGCGAAAACGATTTTGAACTCAATCAAGGCCAGAAAGTGAGGATTGAGCAGCTCCCGTTCATAGATGCCAGCAATACTCCATTTTTGGTCTAATCCGACTCTTATAAAGATAAAGCACGGGTGAAGGAGTCAGGTACTTCCTAGAGCGGTAGATTGAACCGATCATTTTTACACGAGCTTTTGGAGGGAACTTGAGATCCAATAGGCGTTTAAAGCATGTAGCCTCATTGTGAAAAGTGGGGGAGGACTTCCCATTCATTGAAATGCAAACTTTTACAAGTGTTCGAACGCTGAAAACTGACACCACAAGATATATAATAAATTTATTTTAATTTTTTACAAGGTCAAGAGTGATGTTGTGTCACGCCACTCTCTCCAGCCATATGCGAGAAGGGAGCTGTTACCTGCCTTGGAAATCAACAACTGAAATCCAGACTCGAATGTCGAAGGAAATACAAAACTGTCTAAAACCCAAAATAATTTTATAGTAATTTATAAAACGGAAATAAGTGTAGTACAAAGTGGAAATTATTTCTGTTGACTTTTATAAATTGTAAAATTTCTTCAGATTTATATACACAGAGGAAAAAAAAACCACGTATGTAATATTGTAGAGAATTCAAATAAAGGCTTTGATTTTTTAACTATTATTCACCCAATTTAAGGCCCAAGAGCCACTCAAGGCAAAGGATTACTGAATGTGGTTATTGTAAGGGCGTCCAAGGAGAGAGTAAGAAGTGTATATGATAGGAACCCGTGAGAATCGAATTCACTATTTTTAAGATTTGATCCGGTAAATGAGCCTGCTAAACTCACGTACTACTGTAGGCGCCCAGATATTAAATAATCTTATCAATGAGTATTGAATTCACTAGATTGACGTTTTGCTATCCCACTCGTTAGCCATTATGTCTACCTTCCATACAAAAGCTTTTTCTATTTTCCTTGCCTAGAGAAGGAGGTGAACATCATAGCTTTTTAAATCATAAGTAGTATATTCGATCGTTTCTGCTGTGGCCTTGTGGAAGATGAAGCAATGTTTGGAAAATATCTCCATTCAGTTTACGTTCATCAGAAAAACGATACCCTCAACAGGGGTGGGGGTGCCTTTGGGTTTAATTACCTAAGAATTTGATCAACTAAAAATAAAACAAACTTCTGTCTTGAATGAGGACGTTAGCGTAATATACTATCTATTTTTGGTAAAAAAAAAAGGTAAATTTAGTGGTAATCACTGAGAAGATTCAAGCGATTAACCAGGAGGAATGTGCACGCGTTATCAACAACTTTGCATTCAACAGTGCCTTCAACTGAACGGCGCACATCTGGAGTATTTACTCGGCATTTACTAACCTCCCCACAAGGTAGGATGTTGCACAAGGCCGATTTTTTATGTAGGGCAAATCCGAACCTGTAGGTTCGGGCAAAAATTCCCCGTAGACCCCTTAATAACGGAATCGGGTTTGTCTACCTCTCCAGACGAGACTCTGCTCTTTGGAATAGCTTTGTCTGGGTTCATCACTGCCCGAAAGCAGATTCAACAAGATCTAAGAGCTGCCCGAGCGGCTACCTCGGTATTGACCAAACCTTCCCACAAGGTAGGATATGGCACAATGCCAATTTTTATGTGTCGCAAATCCGAGCCTGTAGGGTCGGGTAAAAATTACACTTACACGGGGTCGGGTTTTTCTACCTCTTCAGATGAGACTCTGCCCTTTCGTCTGGGTTCCTCTCTGCCCGAAGACAGAGAGTTCGACAAGAGCTCCGCGAGCGGTTCACTCTCTTCTGGAAAAATGTACTTTCGGGGTCCTCTTGATATTTTTGGTTCAAGTTTGAGACTAAATGATGGCAGATTCTAAAATGTTTTACCTTTCAATAAATTTCCACTATAAATTTCTCTATCATTTGTGGTACTTGATTTGTGTCCGATCATTTTGTTTCAAAAATTGTGAAACACCCGATTTTCAGATTCCAGTCATTAAGCCAAATCGGTTACCCAGTTTTAAACGAGATGATCATTTTAAATGGAACAAGGCCACTAGCTTTTTGCGCATTCGGCATAACTTCACTAAGTTTGAGAGATAGGCCTTGTTTATGCACAGGCTTAGGGTTACGATAGTTCCTTATTTGATATGCTACCTTTCCTCACTTAGAAAAATAGCGCAATATAATTTTCTCATTCATTATCTTAACCAAGGCGTTGTAATTATCAAACCAACTTTAATGATTGGATAGCAATGGATCTTTCTTAATAGCGATAATACATGAAGCCCAGGCAAGAACAAGGATGGAACAAATACATCGAGTCAATACCTTCGTCCACCGTAAGGAAAGTTGGCTCCCTGTGCCGCGCCAGAAAATTTTTCTCGCCGGAGTCGATCCTTCAAATCTATAAATCAACCATTCGCCCTTGCATGGAGTATTGCTGCCATATTTTATCAAGAACCTTGAGACAATTAGAAGGGGCTCCAGACGTGCCGTCTCCTCCCTCTGTCTTTTTTACAAATACTTTCATGGTAACTGCTCCGATGAGCTGCTTTCGCTGGCTCCCAGACTTCATGAATTTAAGCGTTTGACTAGGCTGGCATCTCGCTCTCACCCTTTCACTGTTGAAACTGTTAAATGTAGCCATCTCTTCTACTCTAATAGCTTCATGTCTCGCACTTCCCGCCTGTGGAACTCGCTCCCCATTTCTTGTTTTCCTGATAGCTATAATCTCCAACTATTCAAATGTAACGTCAATCGACGTCTCCAGATGCCCTGATCTATATCCTAACCGTCTTTTAATCCTTTCCTCTATCTCTCCTCTTTGTTCTCGCTCCAACTCTGTAAATCTCTGCGTGCTAGTGGCTTCCCACATTGATTGAGATGAATGCTTAAAAAATGTCATACATACAAGGCAGGTGTGGAAAGCTAGTCATTCTAAAATAGACTATTGGCTGTAGATATTTTGCAGATTTATAAGTTTACCATTGGTCCGTGCATCGACTATTACTGCCACATCTGGTCTTGTACTTATCTAGAGATTATTGAGAAAATCAAAAGAATCTGCAATGTTATTAGTCCTGACACCTCGGTGTCATCCCCTTTACGGTAGCCATAGCGGAGCTTCCCTTCTAGTTTCTATAAATATTTTCACAGTCATTGTTGTAATGAGCTTTTCTCGTTGTTGCCTCGTCTATACAAATCTGAGCGCAGTACTAGATTGGCAACTAGGTCTCATAATGTTAGAGGAATACTGGGAATGCTATGGTCGGAGTGCGTAAACAAGTCTTAAGGAAAATCGGGTGGCCCGTTCACGGACGCCGCCGCGTGCGAAGCGACCGCAGCCGACGAGCGACACCGACAACCGCAGCCGCCTCTAGCGACGACGAGGACGACGCCCGCCATGGTAGGCTCCAGCCGAACGAAAAGAGATTGCCTTTCGTAATACTGTGACGGCACCGGTCGCGGGTTCCGGCTTAGAGGCTTTTAAGGAAAGTGGAAACAAAAATGATACTTAAATGGAACAACGCCACTGTCTTTTTGCATATTTTTCATATGTTCGCTAAGTTTTAGAAATATACCTATTTTGTGCTCAAGATTAGGATGATGGTGGCTAAAATTGATACTTGTAATTGGAAGTTCTATGCTAATAGTTTCTTCTTCCGCATTTCTCACTTGAGGAACTCTTGTCTGGCTTCATACTTTCCTGTCAACCATGGTGTTCACAAATTTAAATGTAGTGTCAATTGTCATCTGTCTTAAATCGTTCGTATATTGTCCTTTCTGTTTCCTTCACTCTCTTTCATCTTAATGGCTTTATTGCCTTGTTTGGTGTGAAATGATTAAAAAGAAAATATGTAATTGCATCAATAGCCGACCGTCTCTTATATAAACACATGCTATCAAAGAAACACACTTTTTCTCTCTTTTGCTTCGTCTGGAGCATTTCCTTACAGCTTTCAATGTAGGTAATACGTTTCTTGTATCAAATGTGGACATGTGGACTCTCTGGTCAATGGAAAGCGTACCTTTTCGACATCAAACCTTTGTAAGTTTATTCCCGTGGAATCCTTGCATTTTGCTTTCGTTTTGTTGAAAACGTATCGATTTTTTATTGATACCACATCGAAATCACTCATCACCGGGTAAAATGTAAAAAAAAAAAATCCTCGTAATTTCATTTCGACCTTGTACCATACTAATCTAAGATTACTACCGATATAATTCCGACAAGAATTGCGAAATGCCCACTTGAACAGGTAACCTAACCCAACGCAACTAAACAAATCCTAGCCATCTGTTAGCCGTGTGTGTATCTGGGTCTATTCCCCGTATGAGCAAACATATGGGCATTCATATATATCAACATATAACTGAAGCATCTATGTTGTCTATAAATTTGTCATGATATGTGCTATTAAAACACTTTATAACCTCCTTGACTCCACATTAAAAAAAAAAAAAAAAAATAATAATAATAATAAAATTGAAAAAAAAAAGAATTTTTGTTAGCAAGTTAGTTTAT